GAGATAGAGTCTCACTTTGTCACCCTCAGTAGAGTCCATCATAGCTCACAGTAACTTCAAACTCTTGACTCATGTGATTCTCTTGCCTCAGCCTACCAAGTAGCGGGGACTAGAGGTGCCCATCACAATACTCAGCTAGCACCATTCAAAATTAGTAGTGTGGCTCATCCCTGTAATCCCAGCACTTTGGGAGTCTGAGGCAGGAGGATTGCTTGAGGCCAGAAGTTCAAGACCAACCTGGACAACATAGTGAGACCACTTTGCTAAAAAATTAAGAAAAAACAAAAACAGGTGTGGTAGTGCAGCCTTGTGTCCCAGCTATTCTGGAGGCTGAGGCAGGGGCATGGTTTAAACCTAGGAAGTTCAAGGTTGCAGTGAGCTGTGATCATGCCACTATACTCCAGGGCAACAAAGCAAGACCCTAATCTCTTTTTCTTTTTTTTTTTTATTGTTTGAGACAGAGTTTCACTATGTTGCCCTAGGTAGAGGGCTGTGGCATCACAGTTCATAGCAACCTCAAACTCTTGGGCTTAAGCAATTCTTTTGCCTCAGCCTCCCAGTAGCTGGGACTATAGGCGCCTGCCACAATGCACGGCTATTTTTTGTTGTGGTTGTCATTGTTTGGCTGGCCTGGGCTGGGTTCCTGTGAGGAACCCACCAGCCTCAGTGTAGGTGGCTGGTGCCATAACCACTCTGCTATGGGCGCCAAGCCAAGACTCTGTCTCTTTTTAAAATATTAATTAAATGAAATAAAATCAAAATCTTTCCTGACTCTCCCCTATTCTTTCTCATCCTTTTTCTTGCCTATGCCCTCTCCAAGGTTTCTACTCCACAAAGGCAGGCATTTTTGTCTAGTGTGTTTGCTGCCTTGTCTTCAGCACCTAGAAAGTCATCTGGGGCAGCACCTGTGGCTCAAAAGAGTCAGGCGCCAGCCACATATGCTGGAGGTGGCAGGTTCAAACCCAGCCCCAGCCAAAAACTGAAAAAAAAAAAAAAAGAAAGTCATCTGGTATGCCATAGATGCTCATAGATGAACCTGTCTTAGAATGGATGCAGCACAACCAGAGAAAGCCTGTGTGGGAGGTGACATTTGAGCTGAGACCCTTGATAGAAAGACCCAGTGTGGCATAAGCTGTGAGAAGAACATTCCATCCAGCAAGTACCAAGGCTGTGAGACTGGATCATTGGCACATTTGTTTTTCTAGATGTTTATTGAAGGAATGTGTTTGTTGCCATGGCAGGTGTTTGTAGATACAGTGGGGATGCCAGAAACATACCAGAAGCGGCTGCAGCAGTGCTTTCCTGGGATCAAGGTGACAGTAAAGGCCAAAGCAGATTCCTTGTACTCCGTGGTTAGTGCTGCCAGTATCTGTGCAAAGGTCAGCCCCCTTCTCCCCGTCCTCACCATGGGCATCTCTCAGTATCCCCCTGTGCAGGGGACAGACATCACTGCCATGGGGGGGAGAGACTGCAAGTGTTTATGCTGTCCACAGGTGGCTCGTGACCAGGCTGTGAGGAACTGGCGGTTTGTAGAAAGACTGCAGGACTTTGATGCGGATTATGGCTCAGGCTATCCCAATGGTGAGCAGCTGGCAGTCGGCCTGCCTCTGGAGCTGCCCTGAGGCAGAGACTGTGGTAATAACATTGACATCAGGAACGAGCTTTTTCTGAGATTTCCTAACTTGTTGTGGTCAAAGTGAGGGAGGGACTGAAGTCTAAGGTGGGCATTTGTCCATTTGTTAAGGGGAAAGGAACAGGAATGAGGGCACTTATACATGTCTAGTTATCTTACCTTGAATTCATTGTATTTGCCTCAACATGAGGCTCAGTCTCCTTGGCTATAAAGTAGGAATAATTGTGCAGCCCCCAAACCACCATGTGCGCACACGTGCACACACACAGGCAGATTTCAAGATTTAATGGAACCCCCTCATCCTTCTGAAGAATAGGGAGAGTCTGGCGATTGGGCGGGGCCACATAGCAAGTCTGCAAACTCATGTGAGACCAAAGTAGGGAAAACAGGCCCAGGCCAAAGGTAGTTTTGGCATCATCCCTGCCTAGTACATGCCAAGCAGAGCTGAACCCTGGGGATACAGCAGGGAGCAAGATAAAGACTTCCTTGTCCCCAGAGAGCTCCTGACTGTGGAGAGGATGGGCATTAACTTGATGCCAGCAAATGTTGGTTTAATGACTGTCACTAAATAGAAGTCAGGAAGATGTCTCAGAGGCATTTTCCTTAAACTGCACCTTGAGCAACTCCTGACCAGGTGAAGAGTAGGAGGGATCTATCTGTGCAAAGGTCCTGGGCCAGGAAGTTGCCTCCAGTAGTCAGGAGAAACCCTTAGGCAAGTGTGGCCCAGAGCTTGGACATTATGGGGCCCAGCCCCAGCTCAGGGGCTGTCATGTTTGCCCATCCCACCCCAGATCCTAAGACAAAAGCATGGTTGAAGAAACATGTGGAACCTGTCTTCGGTTTTCCCCAGTTTGTCCGGTTCAGTTGGCGCACAGCTATGGCCATCCTGGAGAAGGAGGCAGAAGATGTTGTGTGGTAGGTGTCCCAAGGGTGCAGTGGGCAGGGACAGTGGCCACAGCTCAGCCCTGTCTGGCAGGGCCACTCCCCTTCAAAGTGATTATTGTCCACTAACTCTTTCCCACAGGGAGGACTTAACAGTCGGGGACCAGGAGAGTGCTGGGAGGATCACCTCCTACTTCCTTAATGAAGGCCCTCGAACCCACCTCCGTGTCCCCCACCGGTACTTCGTTGAGCGTGGCCTAGAGTCAGCCACCACCCTCTAGGAGCCAGCCTGTACTCCCTCTAGCTGCCTTCCAGAAGGTGATTAAAAGTGTTTAAGGAAGAGTGTAGGTTGTACTTGGGTGCAGGGACGGGGTGGGGGCATGCTGTGCAGCTGGACCCAGTTATTGCCTTTTGGAATTTATTTATTTATTTATTTATTTATTTATTAGAGATGGAGTCTCACTTTGTCGCCCTCGGTAGGGTGCTGTGACATCACAGCTCACAGCAACCTCCAGCTCTTGGGCTTAAGCAATTCTCATGCCTCAGCCTCCCGGGTGGCTGGGACTACAGGTGCCTGCCACAACACCCAGCTGTTTTTTTGTTGCAGTTTGGCTGGGGCCAGGTTTGAACCCACTACCCTCAGTATATGGGGCTGGCACCCTACTCACTGAGCCATAGGTGCCGCCCACCTTTTGGAATTTAAACAGAGAGGGCATTAGTTGAATGATTTTGATTTGGTTTGATTTTTGAAATACATGCCATAATTTATATGACACAATATTAGAGAGGCAGAAGCAAGAGGATCACTTGAGGCTCAGTGCTCATAGCTCAGTGGTCAGGGCACTGGCCACATGCACCTGGGCTGCTGGGTTGGAATGCAGCCCGGACCAGCTAAAACAACAATGGCAACAACAAAAAAATAGCCAGGTGTTGTGGCTGGCGCTTATAGTCCCAGCTACTTGGGAGGCTGAGGCAAGAGAATCGCTTAAGCCCAAGAGTTTGAGGTTGCTGTGAGCTGTGATGCCATCATACTCTACCCAGGGGGACATAGTAACACTGTCTCAAAAAAAAAAAAAAATGATCACTTGAGGCCAGGAGCTTAAGACAAGCTAGGCAATATAGTGAGACCCCCATCTTCTTTTTTTTTTTTTTTTTTTTTTTTTTTTTGAGACGGAGCCTCAAGCTATCCCCCTGGGTAGAGTGCCATGGCATCACGCTCACAGCAACCTCCAACTCCTGGGCTCAAGCGAGTCTCCTGCCTCAGCCTCCCAAGTAGCTGGGACTACAGACGCCCGCCACAACGCCTGGCCATTTTTTGGTTGCAGCCATCATTGTTGTTTGGCGGGCCCGGGCTGGGGATTCGAACCTGCCACCTTAGGTGTATGTGGCTGGCGCCTTAGCCGCTTGAGCCACAGGCGCCGAGCCGAGACCCCCATCTTCTACAAAAAAATTTTAAATTTTAGCCAGGCATAGTGGTGTATGTGTGTAGTCCCAGCTACTCAGGAGGCTGAGGTTGGGGGAATAGCTTGAGCCCAGGAGTTCATGGCTGCATTGAGCTATGATTGTGCCACTGCACTCCAGTGTGGGTGACAGAACCTGTTTGTTAAAGAATAAAAACTGAGGGCAGCACCTGTGGCTCAATAGGTGGGGTTTCAGCCCCATATACCAAGGGTGGCTGGTTAAAACCCAGCCCCAGCCAAACTGCAACAGAAAACTAGCTGGGCGTTCTGGTGGGCGCCTGTGGTCCCAGCTACTCAGGAGGTTGAGGCAGGAGAATCGCCTAGGTCCAGGAGTTGGAGGTTGCCGTGAGCTGTGTGATGCCACAGCCCTCTACCAAGGGCAATAAAGTGAAACTCTTTCTCTACAAAAAAAAAAAAAAAAAAAAAAACTGGAAAAGCACCCTAAGGAGCTTCCCTTTCATGCTGCCCCGACCCCCTAGCTCACTGGTGGGCTCAACCTGCGTCTTCTGAGTCATTCTGGAGATAACTTGGTTTGTTATAATCATAGATGCATAGATACATACACTCATTCTCAAAGTTTTTTGTTTTTGTAGTGGAAGCAAAGTATACCTTAGATAATGCATCTAACTCTTTTTACCAAATATACCTTGGGGATAATTCCAAGGTATAATGGGCTAAAGATTTGCCTCATTACCTTTACTCTTGCAGAGTCCTTCATTGCTTGACTGTCCTGTAGTTTATTTTATGCCTTCTGTTAGATGTTAAATAAACTACAGGTTGTCACCAAGTTTCTTATTAAAAAAGATAAGGCAAGGCATGACTGGGGTATTTCATTGTTTCTTTTTTTAAATGGGAGGGAAGGGTTTTTTGGGTTGTTTTTCTTTTTAGAGACAGAGTCTCACTTTATTGCCCTTAGTAGAGTGCTGTAGAGTCACAGCTCACAGCAACCTTCAACTCCTGGGCTTAGGCGATTCTCCTGCCTCAGCCTCCCGAGTAGCTGGGACTACAGGCGTCCACCACAAGGCCCGGCTATTTTTTGTTGCAGTCTGGCCAGCCGGGTTTGAACCCGCCACCCTAGGTATATGGGACAAATGTCCTACTCACTGAACCAGGCACCGCTCTATTTCATTGTTTCTTGTGGACAGATTTGGAGACTAAATTCATAGAAATAGACCTGTTGGGTCACAAGATCTGTGTGTTTATAATTTGGAAACGTATTGCCAAATTCTACACAGTGGCTTGTAGCACATGGCTTCCTATCAGCAACATAGGTGAGCACTTGTTTCCCCTGTGGCCTTGCCAGCAGCAGGAAAGTGTTTTGTTTTGTTTTGTTTTGTTTTTATTTAGAGACAGAGTCTCACTTTGTTGCCCTTGGTAGAGTGCTGTGCATCGAAGCTCACAGCAATCTCCAGTTCTCGGGCTTAGGTGATTTTCTTGCTTCAGCCTCCTGAGTAGCTGGGACCACAGGCGCCCATTACAACATCCAGCTATTTTTTGGTTGTAGCCATCATTGTTGTTTGACAGGCCCGGGCTAGATTTGAACCCGCCACCTTAGGTGTATGTGGCTGGCACCTTAGCCACTTGAGCCACAGGCACCAAGCCTTTTTTTTTTTTTTTTTTGAGACAGAGCCTTAAGCTGTCGCCCTGGGTAGAGGCTGTGGCATCAGAGCTCACAGCAACCTTCAACTCCTGGGCTTAAGCTATTCTCTTGCCTCGGCCTCCCAAGTAGCTGGGACTACAGGCGCCCGCCACAATGCTTGGCTATTTTTTGGTTGTAGATGCTTGTCATTGTTGTTTAGCAGGCCCAAGCTGGATTTGAACCCACCAGCTCTGGTATATGTGGCTGGCGCCTTAGACGCTTGAGCTACAGGCACTGAACCAACACCCGGTAATTTTGTTGCAGTTGCCACTGCTGTTTTAGTTGGCTGGGGCTGGTTTTAACTCCACCACCCTCAGTATATGGGGCTGGCGCCCTACCCACTGAGCCACAGGTGCTGCCCAGCAGGAAAGATTTATCTCACTCTATGAGAAGTTTGGATGTGTCATAGTTGGACACCAAAGAAGCCATGTTATATCCATCTTCTATTTTGCCAATTTTAGTGGTTTTGTCTGTCATCCCACTGTGGTTCCCACAGTTCGAGGTATCACATCCCAACCTCCAAAGACCTCGCCAGTAACAACCTCTGCTGCTTTTTAGCTAGAAGCAAGACATGCCCATGCCCAAGCCCAAAGTAAGAGGGATAGAATTGTGGAGTGAAGACCCAAGAATTGGTTCCTGGAGGTAGAGAGAGACAAGCTTCCCCCAACCCTTTACCCTACCTTGAGTGGACTAGAGAAGTTTTAATGGAAAAGAAGAAAGGGGATGGCTCTTAATTCAACACTTTTTCTTTTTTTCTTGAAGTGACAGTCTTGGCTTGGCACTTACAGCTCAAGCGGCTAAGGCCCCAGCCACATACACCAGAGCTAGCGGGTTCAAATCCAGCCTGGGCCTGCTAAACAATGACAACTACAACCAAAAAATAGCCAGGCATTATGGTAGGTGCCTGTGGTCCCAGTTACTCAGGAGGCTGAGGCAAGAGAATTGCTTAAGCCCAGGAGTTGGAGGTTGCTGTGAGCTGTGTCGCCATGATACTCTACCCAGGGTAATGGCTTGAGGCTCTGTCTCAAAAAAAAAAAAAAAAAAAGACAGGGTCCATGCTGGCTTCAAATTCCTGGCCTCAAGTGCAAGTGATCCCCCTGCCTCAGCCTCCCAAGTGCTGGGATTACAGGCGTGTGAGCGTCCATGCTCAACCTCTCAGGTTTGCTTTTATCAGCCTCAGAATTATTAGAATTACAATTAATCTGAAAATTTTAGGTCCTAATGACTACTGATGGATTTCAGCTTAGCAAGAAAAGAACACGTTGCCCATCTTTCCTAATAGCTGGCAACAAACAGAAACTAACAGTCTAAAGCTCTAACTCAAGAAATGTTAAAAAGCTTTTCTTTTCTTTTTTTTTCAGTTTTTTGGCCAGGCCCAGGTTTGAACCTGCCACCTCTGGTATATGGGGCCAGCGCCCTACTCCTTGAGCCACAGGTGCCACCCCGTTAAAAAGCTTTTGGGTGGTGCCTGTGGCTTAAGGAGTAGGGCACTGGCCCCACATACTGGAGGTGGTGGATTCAAACCTGGCCCAAGCAAAAAACGGCAAAAAAAAAAAAAAGCTTTTCAATCCATGGGTACTGAAAGTGCCCTTACTTTCATCACCTAAGCCCAGGAGTTGGAGGTTGCTGTGAGCTGTGACTTGACAGCACTCTACTAAGGACACTCTACTAAGCACTCTCCTCCCAGACTAGGAGTATTGAGCTTACCAAGAATTAGAAATGTGGAATCTGGGGTTCTGCCCAAAAGCCTCCTGAAGATCCACAGCATCATGTTTAAAACTTGCTTGTTAGCCAAGTATGGTGGCTCGTGCCCATAGTCCCAGCTACTCAGGAAACTGAGGCAGAGGATCACTTGAGGCCAGGAGCCTCTCTGATTCATCCCCTGCTACCTATCTTCTGGTTCCTGAAGCACTTCACCTGTTATCTTGCTTTCTGAGTTCTCTCTCCGAGAGGTAGGCAAGAATGTCAGTTTGATGGACATTCCTCTGCTTAAACCCCTCCATAGCTCTCACACTCATCATCTCCAGGTTCAAGGGGCCTTCGCCCGGTGTTCAAAGGCTTCTGTGCTCAGACTCCATTTCCAAAGCTCTGCTCTAGGCTTGCTGGGCAGCTTGGAGTTCTCAGAACACAAAATCTCTCCTTCAGCATGACTTTGTCATCTGCCTAGAGATCCTTCAACTACTTGCCTCTGTTTTTCCTTGACTGCTTCTCCCTGTCACAATGACACAGTTTATAACATCAAGAATAAGATATATAGGGTCATCCGCAAAAAACAATACTACATGTTATCTATATGTTTTGAGTGTTAATTATGTGCCACACTTTGAAAGCATTTTATTTGACATCCCCCCATGAGGAGGCGGTGTCTATGATCCTTCCCCTTGACTATGAGCTGGCTTTAGCAATTTAACTATAGTGAATAGAAAGATGTGACACTACTGTGGTTTCTGAGGTTAAATCATCAAAAGTGAGAGAACTTCCACTAGGCTTGCTCTCTTAGGACACTCTTTAGTACCCAGCTGGCATAACTGTTAGGAAGTCCAAGCCACAAGGACAGGCCTTATTTATTTAATGTGGAATGCTTCATGAATTTGCATGCCATCCTTGCGCAGAAACCATGCTAATCTTCTCTGTATCCTTTCAATTTTAGTATATTTGATCATTTAGCTATTCTGATCAATAGCCTTAAGTGAAGTTCAAGGTAATAAATAACAACTAGCACTGGCCAGGCATTGTGGCTTGTGGCTGTAATCTTAGTACTCTGGGAGGCCAAGACAGGAAGATTGCTTGATCTCAGGAGTTCAAGACCAGCCCGAGCAAGAGTGAGACCCTGTCTCTATAAAAATAGAGCAATTAGGCTCGGCGCCTATAGCTCAACCGGCTAAGGCGCCAGCCAC